CCACTTTTGTTTAGAGGTATGGTGCATGTAGAACTACCGAGAGAGATTGATATCGACAAGACGAATGAGCACATTCAAATTTATATAGGACCATTATGATTGGGGTGGTCATTGAAATTAGTTCTACGAAAATCTACAATATTATCGATCATATGAGCATGATGAATCTCAATTTCAATATAGAGGCTCGCAATCAGCGCTTGAACCAGAGACTAATTCATCGTTAGTGAAAATGTTTGAAAAGTTTCAATATGATTGGATGGCTAGTAGGAAGAAAATTGATGAAATATTAAGCGATATAGATGATCGATCCAAGAGTCGGATATCATATCAAGTTGACACTAGCCAAAGTGATGTCGGAAACATTGGGCTGAGCACGAAGATGGAGTTTGAGATGCTGGAAAATTATATTACTGAGCCGAATGATGATCGAAACAATTAAGATGATGAAGAAGAAGACAATACGAAGCAAACTTCCGACTAACATAACTCAAATTTTTACTTGTAAGCACTAATTATAATTTGCTTCTGATAGTATGAAAACTGGTCCAGCTAACAACTGAATTTACCGTGCCACCCTAAAATTTAAGAAATGCTTCTGATAGTATAAAAACTGGTCCAGCTAACAACTGAATTTACTGTGCCACCCTAAAATTAAGAAATAAAGGGAACTGTTAATAAAATCTTCGTCACCATTACAATTTTCTTCAAGAAATATAGAATTACAAGTAAATATAGATACACAGCAACTCATATTTCACAATTAAGTGAATGACGTGTTGAGGGTTATGTAGTAAAGGGGAAATAATACTAATATAGAAAATGTATCTTGCTAAGGAGACTTACCTTGATAGAGACGTAGTAAGCTCGATAAGTAGATCCAATTTAGTCTTTTTCCCGACAAGGACTCTCTTAGTCACCAAGATACCCAAACTATATAATGGTAACATAGTTTTATGTTAATGACTATGCAAATTCATATATTCAGCACATATCTTTTCCAGTTTATTCTCATGAGTAAATACTGACTTGAGCGTTGGAAGTTTTTCGTCGGGATCCATTGAGATTGTTCGTCAAATTTCAAGGAGACTATGCCATTTTTGTTATACCATAGAACACATTATCATTGATTACCCACTTTTGTTTAGAGGTATGGTGCATGTAGAATTACCGAAAGAGATTGATATCGACAAGACGAATGAGCACATTCAAATTTATATAGGACCATTATGATTGGGGTGGTCGTTGAAATTAGTTCTACGAAAATCTACAATATTATCGATCATATGAGCACGATGAATCTCAATTTCAATATAAATGCTCGCAATCAGCGCTTGAACCAGAGACTAATTCATCGTTGGTGAAAATGTTTGAAAAGTTTCAAATATGACTGGATGGCTAGTAGCAAGAAAATTGATGAAATATTAAGCGATATAGATGATCGATCCAAGGGTCGGATATCATATCAAGTCGACACTAGCCAAAGTGATGTCGGAAACATTGGGCTGAGCACGAAGATGGAGTTTGAGATGCTGGAAAATTATATTACTGAGCCCAATGATGATCGAAACAATTAAGACGATGAAGAAGAAGGCAATACGAAGCAAACTTCCGACTAACATAACTCAAATTATTACTTGTAAGCACTAATTACAATTTGCTTCTGATAGTATGAAAACTGGTCCAGCTAACAACTGAATTTACCGTGCCACCCTAAAATTTAAGAAATAAACAAAAAAGAACTAAAGGGAAATGGTAATAAAATCTTCGTCACCATTACAATTTTCTTCAAGAAATATAGAATTACAAGTAAATATAGATACCCAGCAACTCATATTTCACAATTAAGTGAAATCC